GGTACAAATTGCTAAAACTGAATCAAGAGAATATAACAACTCTGAAATGACCCAATATCATCCAACCCAAAACTTACCAACAAAGAAAAACCCAGGTTCTGATAGATTCACAGCTGAATTCTACAAAAAAATCAGAGAAGATATAATCCCAATTAAATTGAAAAGGAAGCAGTACTCCCAAAATCATTCCTGGAGGCAACTATTATATTGATACCAAAACTGGAGAAAGACCCACCAAAAAAGAGAACTACAGGCCAATCTCCCTCATGAACATAGATGCCAAAATCCTCAATAAAATCTTAGCAAATAGAATACAGCAAATCATCAGGAAGATTATACTCCATGACCAGGTAGGATTCATACCAGGGATGAAAGGGTGGTTCAACACATGCAAGTCTATAAACACAACATACCATGTTAATAGAAGCAAAACCAAAAACCACAGGATCATCTCAACAGATGCAGGAAAGGCTTTTGACAAAGTCCAACACTCATTTATGATCAAAGCCCTACAGAAAATTGGAATAGATGGCCTGTACTTCAACCTGGTAAAAGCCATCTATGACAAACCAATAGCCAACATCATTCTAAATTAAGGGGGAAGACTGAAAGCTTTTACTCTAAAGTTAAGTACAAGTCAAGGATGTCTACTGTCATGACTCCTGTTCAGTATAGTTTGGATTCATTAGCTAGAGCCATTAGACAAAGAGAGAAATAAAAGGAATAAGAATAGGTAAAGAATTTAAACTATTATTATTTGCAGATGACATGATACTCTGCTTGGAAGACCCAAAAATCATCAGCAAGAAGCTCCTAGAATTAATAGACAAGTTCAGCAGCATAGCAGGATATAAAGTCAAAACCCAAAAGTCAGTAACATTCCTTTACACAGATAACACACTGAGAGAGAAATTAGAAAAACAATACTCTTCATAATAACATCTATAAAAATAGAATACTTAGGAATTAATGTAACAAAAGAAGTAAAAGTTTATACAGTGAAAATTAGGATGTTCTGAAAAAAGAGATCAAAGAGGATTTCAGAAAATAGAGAGATGTTCCTTGCTCCTGGATAGGAAGAACCAATGTTGTGAAAATGGCCATACTCCCAAAATTGTTATTCAGATTTAATGCAATCCCTATCAAAATATCAATGCACCTCACACATGTATAGGAAACATTTCTAAAATTTATTTGGAACCAGAAAAGACCTAGAATAACAAAAGCAATCCTGGGCAACAAAGGCAAGACAGGTGGCATTTTAACCCCTGATTTGAAATTATACTACAGAGCTACTGTGATAATATCAGCATGGCACTGGCCAAAAAAAAAAAAAAAAAAGACTTAAGGATCAATGGAAGATGAAGGTGCACTACAAACACACTCAGCCACCTTATCTTTGACAAAGGTGCCAAACTTGTTTACTGGGAGACAGATAGCTTCTTTAACAAATGGTGCTGGAAAAACATGCTGAAATTAAAATTAGACCTGGGTCTTTCACCATGCACTCAACTAAAGTCAAAATGGATTAAAGATCTAAACATTCAAGCAGAGACACTAAATCTCCTGGAAGAGAAATTGGGAGAAACTCTTGAAGACATAGGGGTAGACAAAGAGTTCATGAACA